TGGAGCTAGTGGAGCTACTGGAGCTAGTGGAGCTACTGGAGCTAGTGGAGCTAGTGGAGCTACTGGAGCTAGTGGAGCTACTGGAGCTACTGGAGCTAGTGGAGCTACTGGAGCTACTGGAGCTAGTGGAGCTACTGGAGCTAGTGGAGCTACTGGAGCTACTGGAGCTAGTGGAGCTACTGGAGCTAGTGGAGCTACTGGAGCTAGTGGAGCCAGTGGAGCTACTGGAGCTACTGGAGCTACTGAAGCTAGTGGAGCTACTGGAGCTACTGGAGCTAGTGGAGCTACTGGAGCTACTGGAGATAGTGGAGCTAATGGAGCTACTGGAGCTAGTGGAGCAGGAGCGAGTGGTGTGGGTGAGTGCCAAATAGGATGCTTGAGAGAAACACAGCTAGATATTTAACAACCTATTAAAATACACCAAAATGCAGGAAATGGCATCTGCTGTACTCAAAAGTTTCTAACCCCCCGCTATTTGCATTCCAGCATCGACTGGTTTACAAATTAAGAACTGTCCAACACATAATGATGGTTTTAAGTAAATATTTCACATACTGAGTTGTGCTCAAATGAGATATTGTTAACAACTCTCACCTACAACCACACCAAGTTTAAAGTTATATTAAGTTACAGCTATTTTTGTGTTTTCTAATTTCAGTTGGCTGGGGCGACCATCTTGAATTCAATTAACTTCTAACATTATTCAGGTTTAATCAATAATTTTATACTGGGGGTTTCTTTAAAATCTGTCCAGAGGTTCATGAGATATTTGGCTAACAGACAGATTATACATTTAAGACTGTTAGGTTCAGGAGTGGCAGTGGGCGGAGTAGCAAATTTGTCAAGGAGGGACTTGTCCCCCACTCGCCGCCCCTTGGTGACACACATGGATGAATTTTGAAAACTTAATCTTTTCATCAAACCAAATAAGAATAATAATGGTAACACAGTTATCAACATTTGTTCCCTTGTACATTTGTTTTAAAGTTTAAATCCTAAAATGATCCGTACGACTAGCTGCTCGTGAGTTTGAGGTAAATAAATGAAAATGTTCAGCAGGAGCTGCATGACACTGCAAACTGCTCTTTTACTCAGTTTTAATCAACGACAAATTAGTAGTCGGTGCCAATTAGTGTAATGACCCCCCCCCCCCCCCCCACACACACACACACACACACACACCAGCTGGTGGTGCAGTGTGTGCGCTCACAATCAGGTGAAAAGGAGGAAACAGGATGCAGCCACAGCTCTGTAGTTCAGGGACAAAGCCTGCAGTTGGTGTGTTCCTCCTCCTCCTCCTCCTCCTCCTCCTCCTCCTCCTCTGCAGCTCACACTCCTGATCTGCCTGTTGGACACTTTGGAGTGAGCATGGCTGCCATCAAGGCTCTGGAGCAGTGGTGTAAGGTTCAGTGTGAGGGCTACAGAGATGTGGCCATCTCCAACATGACGACCTCCTTCAGGAATGGACTGGCTTTCTGCGCGCTCATCCACAAACACCGGCCGGATCTCATGTGAGGAGGACTTGATGCTCGGCTCAGCAGCTTGGCTTTAAATTCATGTTGAGGCATGAGATGACTGATGGAGTTCTGCTGCAAGATGTTGTGAAGGACTCTCAGCTACTACCACACCAACGTTTAGCTCAGTTTAATGCAAAAACTTCCTGTTACTGTCATTTCTATGTTTTCTCATGTGACTTGGTTTTGGTGGCCATCTTGAATTTAGTTGTTTCTAAAAGTTAGACTCCAAGTTTCGTCGAAACTGACAAATTTTAGTGACAGATCAAAAATTTAGCACAAACCAGCTTCACTGTGTGTGTAAGAAAAACACTTTATTTTTAAATGTAACTTTTCTGTGTGTGTGTGTTTCCAGAGACTATGACTCACTCAGAAAGGAGGATGTGTTTGAGAACAACAGACTGGTAAGATGTCGAGTTATTTAACCTTCAGCTTTCAGGAAGGAACAGACTTCAGAGATTCAAGCTGCAAAGTTTACATTTATCACTAAACACTGATGCTTCCAGCTGCAGCACAGTTTTTATTCTTTTTATAACATTTGAGCTGCTAAAACTAACTCTTTGCTCTTCATACAAACTCATTTATGTAACTAGCTCCTCCATTATTTAGTCCTGCACCATTATGCCCACTTCCTCCTGGAGGTTCGGACCCCTGCAGATGCCTCCTTGTCCTGGACGGTCCTGCTGGAGACAAACCTGTTCTCAGAGGAGACGGTCTCAGAGGAGACGGTCTCAGAGGAGACGGTCTCAGAGGAGACGGTCTCAGAGGAGACGTCTCAGAGGAGACGGTCTCAGAGGAGACCGTCTCAGAGGAGTCCATGTCAGAGGAGACGGTCTCAGAGGAGACGGTCTCGGAGGAGTCTGTCTCAGAGGAGTCCATCTCAGAGGAGTCCGTCTCAGAGGAGTCCGTCTCAGAGGAGACCGTCTCAGAGGAGACCGTCTCAGAGGAGTCCGTCTCAGAGGAGTCTGTCTCAGAGGAGACCGTCTCAGAGGAGACCGTCTCAGAGGAGTCCGTCTCAGAGGAGTCCATGTCAGAGGAGTCCGTCTCAGAGGAGACCGTCTCAGAGGAGTCCGTCTCAGAGGAGTCCGTCTCAGAGGAGTCCGTCTCAGAGGAGACCGTCTCCAGCCTCTTCATTTTGAATGAAGCTGCTGTCGTCAGCTATTCGATCCACAACTGGTGGATTACTCGAGCGCACATCTCATGTGCAGTTCTTGAACAAGACAAATGGATTTTGGCCCCTGAGAGGAGCGTGTTTGATCAGGTTTTGCTGCTTCTAAGTGCCCCCCCCAGCTGAAATGTGAGAACGTAGCCATCCACACCCTTCTATATTTAATGAACGGCATCATCTTTCTTCACTGTGTGTTATTTCCTGAGTTGAAATGTCGGCCCCGTTGTGTCGTCTACAACTGGTGATCAGTTCAAATGGTGAAATTGTCTTCAGGCCTTTCAGATCGCAGAGGAGACGTTGGGCATTCCAGCGTTGTTGGATGCAGAAGACATGGTGGCTTTAAGGATCCCCGACAGGCTGAGCATTCTGACCTATGTGTCCCAGTACCACAACTACTTCAAGGGACGGCCTCCAGGTGAGTGTGTGCCACAAAGAGACACTTGTCGTTTTATTTTGTGCTCAGTGGCAGTGGTTGGTTTTGTCTTCAGTGGGAGGCATGAAAAGGCCAGCAGAGGGCTCCAAGGAGGAGCCATCGGAGAAGAAAAACCACCCAGTGGTTGCCAAAATCTTTGAGAGGGGTTCTCCTTCCGTTCGCTCGCCTAACGCTGCAGAGGTCAGTGCTCATGTCTGGCACCAAACTGGTCACTTGTGAAGTCTGTCGTATTGATCAGTAAGACGTTGTCAGCGGTGACCATGCAGCAGCAGGTCTGGAGGAAAAAGGGCAGAAATGTTCGTTCAGGCGACACGTCAGACACAAACGACCTTTTTATTTCCTGTTTCCTCAACCCAACAGCGTCTGCCTTTAGTGAATGTATTGGTGCTGAGCACAGACCGTGCACATTGTGTTTGTAGTGCTAAGACGATGAAAAGCCACTCATTTGACTGATCAACACTGCAAAGATGACAGATTAGTCCTTTTGAAATAAGTGTCATATTTTTCATTGTCCATTTTTAATCAGAAGAAGTGACTTCTCAGGATGTTCTCTTTCTCAGAAGGTGCCTTTGACTGACACTGCCAACAAAAGTGGGACTCTGAGCAGCAAATGTGTTGCGTGTCAGAGCCACGTCCACCTGGTTCAGCGGCACTTTGTGGAAGGGAAGCTTTATCACAGAAGCTGTTTCAAGTAAGACCTGCATTTATTCAACACCGTGAGGTTTGCTTCAAGTTCAAGTCAAGTTTAGTGTCACTCACATCACGTGGTGCATGAGGTGGAATGAAATCATGTACTCAGGGTTACACCCAACAATGACAAAACAGATGAAGTGTAAAAAGAAACTGTAGATAAGGATCTAAGATATGCTAAACATTTGCCAAACTTTATGATAAAAGATTTAAGATTCATTAATCACTGAACCAAGTTAGACCTGTCACGATAACAAATGTTGCTAGACGATTAATTGTCTCAAATTATTGCGATAAACAATAATATTGTTTGAAATTTGACAATAATTAGTAGATATTGTCAATTTTAAGAAGAAATGTTGGTTAATTTGGTGTGAAGTACTTTTATTGACCACTGGATGGCAGTATAAGACTGTTTAAACCGAAGGATGGATAGTGAGGGAGCGAGCAGCGTGTCTCTTTAAGAACAATGGGAGGGAGGCCTCTTGATGTGACATGGGCTGTCTCTCTTCAGTTCTCAAAATGGCGGATGCTCAGTGTGGTTTGAGCTCTTTAGCATTTTTCACACGAAGCTTTTAATAAATAATCAGTAAACAAGTTCTCAGCTTCCAGAGAAAAACAACTTTTTACACAAAGACACGAGTTTCAACCGTGAATTTTGGAGCTTCGACAAGACGGAGGTTTTTTCCCCGAGGTCGGCCTGTTAGCTTAGCTCGTAGCTTAGCTTCTCAGCTGAGCTGCTTTTAACGTCCTAAAACGTGATTTTGGACGTTAAAACAGATTTTAAAGAGAAAGGTCGGTGAAGAACCGGAGTCGAACCTTTTATCATCCGGTGTCTTCAGTAGAAAGAGAGACACAAAGAAATGATAAAGTTGATAAATTAAAATGAAGTTGATAATTTTCATTTATCATGCGATTGATTGATTTCTTGTTTATTGCGACAGGCTTAAACCAAATTAAATTCTTTCAGGTGCAACGAGTGTTCGAGCACGCTTCACGCAGGAAGCTACAAACCAGGGAAGAACGTGGACACGTTTGTCTGCAACACCCACCACAACGGCTCCAAAACCTCCTCCTTGGAGTCAGATGTGAAAAATGGAGTTTCTCATTCAGCTGTGCAGCCAAGACCTCAGGAACCGCAGGCGCAACGGTTCTCCTCAGTGCTGTCCGCCCCAGTTAATGCAGTTCTGAAGCCGTCGAGTCCCAATCCACAGTCCCAGTCCTGGACGACCTCGGCTCAGAAGACGCAGGCGGCCCGGCAGAAGTTTTTCCAGGCTGCGCCACAAGTTACCGAAGCTTCAGCGGGAATCAGAAAACCTGTTGAACAAGTAAAAATTCAAAAGGCCCATTTGGGTTCTGATAAGAACTCTGCCAGACTGATGACTGGGAGGAAACTGGCAGAGGAAAACTGCAACAATAACAACGGACACCAGTTCACCATCCGACCCGCGGCGAGGCGGTGAGCTTTGAGTCTCCAGATGCTGATTTTATGCATGTTGCAAGTTTGAGCGTGAACACCTTTGTGCAGGTTTGTCGCTGACGCAGCTTCAGTCGACGTAAGTTTGAGGAAGGACAAAAGCAGCCAAGACCCCACAGGAAGCTGTGAGGGTCCAAACAGGAAGTCACCTCGGCCTATCGGCAAGGACACCAGGCCAACAACTGAACACAAACCTGCCAAAGGTAAAGCTCTGAAATATTTTAGCTTGAGCTCGATGTGCTGTTTGACATGTAGCCCCGCCCCCTCTGACCCGTTCTTCCTGTCTGCTTCACATTCAGAGCTAAACAAAGCTGCTTTGTCCTTTGTGTCCCATTTATTCAGCCATTTGTCTGACATTTTAATTTTCTCCTCCAACTAATGAACATTCCTGAAGCTGTCATTCTTCACACAAGGATGAATATGAATGAATGACGGTGGGTTGGAAGACAGACATGCAATTATTGCTGGGTTCTGTTGTGAGCGATATCAGGCCAGTTATTTGTATTTATTTGCACTGACAAGCCTGAAATGAACTCTCTAGCTGCTAAAATAGACTGCAGGCTACAGAACTATGTCCTCATCTTTCAAACAGACATAACGTTGATTTACACGTCTCTTCAGTGGCAGTGGGAGGGAAAAAGACAAATTAAGCAAAGCTATTGGTATAAATTCTTTTATTTTTTACTTTAACTGTATTGGTGTGTTGACCACATTTTTCTTTAAAGAAGTTAATCTCAAACAACTTCCAGATGAAATTGAAATGTATTTGATTTTACCTTCCATTTGCCAACTAAGTTTGTACGGCGCGTTGAGACTTTGGAAAAATGTACCAAGTGTGTTTTCTTGGCTGCTCGCAGGAATCTCACCTGACCTTTTTGGCTTTGTCATTTTACCGTACTTGCTGCCGCGCACGTCGCATCTGTCAAAATATGTCTAACAAAGTGGGAAAAAACAGCAATATGTCGCTTCGCCGTATAAGTCACGTCTATTATGTGTCACCGCTGACCACCCGGAAACATGGGCTGGTGTTGTGCCCACAATTTATTGGCTGCCAAATGCAGCTGTGGGAGCGTGCACGGGAGGACTTTAACAAGAATTTAACAAGATTAACACTTAAAAACAATTATTTGTTTGCAAGAAATTATAGTAAAGGTGCGTCTCAGTTGAACTTTTCCTAAATAAATGCACTTTAATGGTCAGCTGCAGTTCTCCTGGGCGGTGAAATGAAGCTGATTTGATGTTTGCTCCTGGAGTTCTGGAGTGAGATGAAGGTGGCCAGGTATGGCAAGCCAAGTGTCTCACTAATAGCCACTTTTACCTATTAATGAGACACTTGGCTTGACATATTACTCGAGGGCCCTCTAGTGGCTGAAAATGGTAGTGCTCAATATTTTCCATGTCAGAATAAATGAAATCATCAGATCTCAGACAAAAATTGGTTATAAATATGGGAAAAAACATTAGTTTCTTTGGTGTATACAAGTCGCAGGACTTGCAAAAAGGTGTGACTTATACGGCGAAAAACACGGTAAGTGCATCATTTTGGGCTTCAAGAGCATGTTTGAAATTTCAATCAACACGTACAAATGTTAGAAATAAGACTTCAGCCCCATTTCCACTGATTCGTTTGGTTTTTGTAATTCTGCAGATTCAGCCGAGTGGCAAACGAAGCTCAAACCTGTGAAACGTGATCTCAAGATCAAGTAAGTGTGCAAGAACAATTAAAGGTTAAATAAAGGTTGAATGAATAGTTATTAAGGTTAAAGGGCTCATTGTGTGATTCTGTTTTAAGTTAAAAACAAACCTGAATATTTTACTGCTCCGACCTCTGAGCTTGTTCACTCTCCAGAACATCGAATCTTCGACTTTCCTCCATCCCTGTTTCTCGTGCTTGGCCCAGGGTGCCGCCGCCGCCGCCGCCGCTCGCTCTCCATCCTAACGAGCCCCAAGGAGTGTCTCGCCTGAACGCTTTCAAAACCTAACTCTAGATTTTCCTCATTCTAATCGACATTGATGATCTCACTTTTTCTTTTAAAATAAATTTATTGTTACAGAAAACCAGGTGAGGCCATCAGCAACCGACGTTTCACTTTAAAACCCCTTTCTGCATGAACAAAGTGCAGCTGCTGCACTTTAAGCAGCTGCAGCACTTTAAGCAGCTGCAGCACTTTAAGCAGCTGCAGCACTTTAAGCAGCTGCTGCACTTTAAGCAGCTGCTTTTATGGTTGACCTGCAGAGACTCTGACCCGGACATCGTAGCTGAACATGGAGCAGCTGGTGGTGTGTCCAGGACTCCGTGCCTCGTCTCCATCAGTACAAGGCCTCCATCAGCTCCAGCCTCTGCTGCACCTGGACTCGGCTTTGCTGCGTTTGGTCCTGGAGGCTTAAAGGAAGTCCATCCCCTGAAAGCCCCGCCTGCTTCTGCAAACGGAGGTAAGATGTTCCTCTGCCTTAGAACCTGTCAGTGTAGAACATTTTAAGTATTTCATGCCAAACTGACACTTGATGTGCTTTGAGATTTAGTCTGAAATGGACAAAAAACAAAGGATTGGTTCAAGGAGAAGTCTTTCACATCACATGAGGTGGAATTAAATTGTGTACTCAAAGTCCCAGTTACACCCAAAACAAGTAACATGCACAGATTAAAAATTAAACTGGATCTAATAAATACACTAACAATAATATGCTGGTGCAAGAAATGATTCAATTAAAAGACGTAATAGTCGAAGAATACGGAGCCTGGAAAATGCCCAAAATGTCTCTGTGCTCCTTCAAAAAGTCTCAAGTGTCTTTGGGATTTGTTGCCCCCCCCCCCCCCCCAATCTCCTTTTTAAAATATTTGAAAGTGATGTATAAAAGTTTTACTCTACTTTTTAGGCCTTTAACAAAATTAAGCTAATAAAGAAAAGTTTATTTTCATACTTTACACCAAAGTTTGTTTAAAATGTGCAGACTTGACTCTAAGAAGCAAATTAAATAAATAATTTTCGTTCTTTCTTTAGAAGATATCTGGTCCACATCAAGACACTGTATCAAATGTTAAACTTAACACTGGAAAGAAGAGAGGAAGACAAATGCAACCATTGTTTAAATTTCTACTTCAGTGTGGACCACGCAGTGGTTGTAGAGGAAACGGTTGTAGAGGAAACGGTTGTAGAGGAAACGTTGTAGAGGAAACGGCTGTAGAGGAAACGGCTGTAGAGGAAACGGTTGTAGAGGAAACGGTTGTAGAGGAAACGGCTGTAGAGGAAACGGCTGTAGAGGAAACGGCTATAGAGGAAATGGTTGTAGAGGAAACGGTTGTAGAGGAAATGGTTGTAGAGGAAACGGTTGTAGAGGAAACGGTTGTAGAGAAAACGGTTGTAGAGGAAACGTTGTAGAGGAAACGGCTGTAGAGGAAACGGCTGTAGAGGAAACGGCTATAGAGGAAACGGCTGTAGAGGAAACGGTTGTAGAGGAAACGGTTGTAGAGGAAACGGTTGTAGAGGAAACGGCTG